TGGGCCACTTATTCATCAATAAAATAATAATAATAATAATAATGATGATAATATTCCATGGTTATTTATTAAATCAATCAATGAAAGAGACACGCGGGCACACACTTGGAGGACGCACTGACTACAAGTTCCTTCTTATCCGATCAAGATGAGGGCCAGGCAAGACAATGTATGGTAACTCTGGTATGTACAACCTTGTAATCAAACAGAAGGATCGTCGCGTGGTGGCAGCAGAAAAGGCACCGGACACGCCAACGCCATCCGAGCCAGTCAGTGATCTCAATATCGGCAACCTTCACGTGGCCGCACTGGATAGATCGTCCTCAGGGGTCTGCGAACTCGCGTATTAAGATTACAAGCTGATGGGTTTATATACACACATCTAACCTGATAATAATATTAATAAATATTATCATTATTATTATTACTGTTATTACTACTACTATTATTATTATTTACCTACTGTGTCTCTAAGAAGTTTGCCTAATAATGAATATCTACCAATAATAATAATAATAACAATACTTCTTTAGCTTTATCAAAGGAAGTTTGATGCGGAACAACAAAGCAGAATTTATTATTCTACAGTAATAATACCAATTTATTTCCCTAGCAACTACTGACCATTCACACATTTTTTTAACCCATGAATCCTTCCTTCAATGATACCAGACAGATGGACCTCGAAGGTGGCACGGGTCTAGAACTTTTCCACGAGTTGCCTCTGTTGAAGGATTCATCCGGTGGTAATAACCCATACCTGCATGCATTATTTAGTAGGAAACTAAGGTACCTCCAGTCCACAAACTCCGCCCAGTGATGACAGCTCCGCATGGCGCCAACGACGCCCTAATGACCGGGGGTAAGCTGGTGGCTTGAGCCCCCCATGACGAATTTCAGGAAACAACTGGGTATATTTGATTGATTCCATCATCTTGATCGATTTCAATACTATTACTGAGAATGATTCTATGTCTAGTATGTTGTTGTTATTGTCGCTGTTTCTATTATTATTCTTATTCTTCTTCTTTTGTATGAGGAGAAATAAAAATAAAAAACCAATCCTGCATACAGAATATTTGTCTGGACGGTATTATTCATCTGCCTGGTGGTAAGAATGAACGTAATATTACTAAAAATAAAATAAATAAAATAAAAAATAAAAAATAAAAAAAGACCCCCCATTATTTGACTTTCCAGCAACCGACACATGGCAACCATGGCGAATGATCGCCGCTAAGAAACTTGTCTGAACATGCCATCACTTTCACTGGTCCAGCCACCCTGCTGCCAAGAAACCAAAAGAACAGGTGGTTTTTCTTTCTTGCGTCGAAGATTCAATTAATTTATCAAGGGATGCTGGTCTTTCCCCAAGTCGTGAGGTCAGACAGTGGAAAGGCTCAACCACTACTTTGCAGGCTTGTTTATCCAGCCAAACACAACTATCATTGAGAATCCTTTTCTTTTTTTCTCTATCTTCCATTTTGTCTACATCTACCCGTCTTTCTCTTTCCCTTTCATCCATTTTCTTACTTTCTTCTTTCTCTCTCTCTCTCTCTCTGCCCATGGCCCATGCAGGGAGGGCGCTAGTCACGAATCCTAATTACCTTTTTACTCTCCCCGCTTCTCTGGAATGTGACTCTCCCACAATAATGCCTCCATCCCCACATGTACGTACATGCATACATGTGGACAGGACAATGTGTTTTCCCCCATGCTCATCATGTCAAGATTTCATCATGATCGACACGCCTTCATCCCTGCGGGCTGACGGCTGTTGCGCGGCTCCTGCAACAATGCTTTGCGCCTAGTTTCATCCCTTCAGGGCTGTCTCTCTGTCTCTCTCGCTCTCGCTCTCTTTCTGCAGCGTGTCAGTCAACCCCATCTTCCCACCCACACACACACACATACACACACACACATACACACATGGATTGAGAAACATTGTGGCGTCCTAGGTGGTAAGTTGCTTTTGCTTCACCGACTTCCCGTCGGGCTGGTGTGACCTGAACAAAGACCCAGACCCTTGCTTGTTGTTTTACTCAACCAGCACCCGTGGGTCATCATGGTGAGTTTAAGACAACTCGTGTGGGTGGGGGAACCTTGTCAGTTGATCAGGTTTGTAGTAGTTGTAGGAGTAGTTAGTAGTAGTTAGTAGTACTAGAGTAAAGTGTCTGTAATAATACCCACCAAGTCGGCTAAGGCGAAAAACTACCACCCGTACCTGTACCTACGGATACCTTCACCGACCACGCCGACAGAAACAACACAACACTCCCAACTACTCTACTTTCCCCATTTTATCTCATCGGGCTTGACTATTGTATGTACCTATTCACCTACATATCGACCGGCCTTTCCCCCATAATTGCAGATCTGACACCAGTTAGCGTGGTCGGAGGCGAATCATCTCCCTCCCTCCAAACGCCAGGGTCGTACCACCAGTCCGACTAACTCCTGCAATTATTTTCGCCCCGAGATGTTCTGTAACCCTAGACGTGTGGACAAGAATCATTCGCACCCACTCCCGATAACTCGGCAGTGTAACTTTCAGGATTTGGGGGGGGGGGG